TTCTCGTCAATATCTACGCTGAAAAAACCAGCATCGAAAAACACGGCGCAGACGTTAAAAAATTCTTGGAAAGTGTCAAGAAACAGTAAATCAGTCTAAATAAACTGAAATTAAAGCCGTCGGAAATTAGATTTCCGACGGCTTTTAGATTTCTCCCAACGAACGGTTGGAAGTTCTCAAAGTGAATAAAAAAGACGTTCGGATTTACCCGAACGTCTTTTTATCGATATAAATTTCAACCCTCAATTATCCATTCGCGGTTTTATAAGCCGGAAGCGTGACGCGGGCTTTCGGTTCTTTTTTCAGTCCTAACGCCCAATCTGCCTGCATCAGCGTGTGAATGTCGCGTGTTCCTTCGTAAATAACGGCGGCTTTGCAGTTTCGCAAATAGCGTTCGACGGGATAATCGTTCGTATAACCGTTTGCACCGTGAACTTCGATTGCCATCGAAGCGGCTTTTTCCGAACGCGTCGTGGCTTGCCATTTCGCCAAAGATGCGGCTTTTGCAGACGGCATTCCGTTATTTTTCAGATAACCGCATTTCAACCACAAAAGATGCGTCATTTCATAATCGGCTTCCATTTCGGCGATTTTTTGTTTGACCAATTGGAAATTAGCAATCGTCTGCCCTTGCACTTCTCGTGTATTCGCATACGCAACCGAAGCGTCACGCGCCGCACGAATCACGCCCGTTGCACCTGCTGCGACGGTATAACGTCCGTTTTCAAGCGAAAACATCGCAATCTTGAATCCTTCGCCTTCTTGTCCGAGCATATTCGCTTGGGACACGCGCACGTCTTGAAGCGAAAAATATCCTGTGTTTCCAGCTTTGATTCCGAGTTTTCCGTGCAATGTTCCCGACGAAAAGCCCGTCATCGAACGTTCGACGATAAAACACGAAATGCCCGAATGATCGCGGTTCTTTTGTTTTTCGGCATCAGTCCAGCAGAAGAAAAGAAAATGATCGGCAACGTCGCCGAGCGAAATCCACATCTTTTCGCCGTTCAAAATCCAATCGTCGCCGTCGCGCCGCGCATACGAACGCATCCCGACGACATCGCTTCCCGCGTTCGGTTCGGTCAAACCGAAAGTCGCCAATTTTTCGCCCTTCGCTTGCGGAACGAGATATTTTTGTTTTTGCTCTTCCGTTCCCCAAGTCAGCAAGCTCAGAGAGTTAAGCCCGACGTGAACGCTCATTGCCACGCGCATAAACGTGTCGCAGGCTTCGAGCTCTTCGCAGACGAGTCCGAGCGAAACGTAGTCAAATCCCGCGCCGCCGTATTCTTCGGGAATACAAACGCCGAGAAGTCCGAGTTCAGCCATTTTGTCGAAGACCGAACGCTCGAAATGTGATTTTTCGTCCCATTCTTTGATATAAGGCGCGATTTCGCCGTCGCAAAATTCCTTTACGGTTTTCTTTAGTGCAATATGCTCTTCGGTTAATTCTAAATCGATCACAGTTATTAATTTCCTCGCTAATATTTTGGTATGATAAGTTTTACAGATAGTCCTATAACGAAGTTTACCATTTTGTCCGAATTTGCGCTAAAACCGCGAATTACAATCAATGCTTAAATATGCCGTCAACAAAACTAATAATTAAAATTACATTTATTTGCTCGTTGGTCTTTATTTTTCAAACTTTCGCGTTTGCTCAAAACAGATCGAACGAACCGATTCCGAAAATGCCGCGCCTTCTTTCGCAACGCGAACAGATGGACGTGCGCGAAATGTGGCTGAAAAAACGTTTCGATACAGTTCTTTTGCCGATGATGCGAAAGCACGGAATTTCGATGTGGATCGTCGTCAACGAAGAATTTAACAGCGATCCCGCAACCGAATACATAGTGCCGCCGATTCCGATGGTCGGAAGCCGCGATTTTTTCATTTTTGCCGATACGGGCGAAAAATTAGAAAAGGTCGCCATCGTCCGCTATGCGGAAGAACGTTTGAAAAATCATTATCAAATGGTCAGCGTTTCGCGTGATAAATTGGCTGAAACTCTGCGCTCGACAATTGCTAAATAC